ATCTCTGTCCAGATTCTACAGACAGAGTGAAGGACATGATATACCATTGGGTCGATTCGGTGTCGACAATGAGTTTGAACTGATCCAAGAGATGGACGACACGTTTGGCATCGAAGTGTCGGACAAACACCGAGATTACAGCGATTATCTGGTCTATTGTCGATCCGATCCAAACACTCAGCATATCGTGGATCTTGTGGCCAATCAAAGACACGATGACAACGAAGACAAGGAACTGTTGACACCATTCCCTAAAGTGTTTAAATCCAAATCAAATGTCAAACAAAGAGCTTTCAGTCTTAACCCGTTTTCGTTGAAAGCGACCGACGCTTGTGTGGAGGAAACGGACGACACGGAGGAAATGGATATCGATTTGATTGAATCCATGAGAGCCAAGAACTGGAGGCCTCGACCCAAGAGCGCCCCTAAGAGGACACCCGTCTGTCCTCTGCCCGACTCGACAGTCATCTCCAACGACGAGAAGACTCGAATCCACTCTTTGTTGTCTCGACACAAATGCATCTATTTATCCAATTTTGCATTTCTCTACCGAAGTCTTCACGGCTGTGCCATTGATTTCAAGCGATTCGGTTCTCTCACTTTGGAACAGTTCCTCAAACGAATGCCTCAATTGGTCCGATTAGATGCCACTCTCGACGGCTATATTGTCTCTTTGGTTCAACCCATCATTGGATCCGATGAACAAACAAACACTTGTGATGACACACAACACAATGGTTTGAATGGAAGCCATGAAACACATGACAAACACAATACTGTCACTACTGATGATAATGGGAATGCAAACCATTTGAACGATGGTTTGGTTCCAACGCAAGAATTTATTGGACACAAAGAAATGAAGAGATTTCGACAAATCCTGAGCAGATATCCAAACGGAATTCTGCCGAAGGATTTCATTAAAGAATATTACAGAATATTCAAAGAACCCATAATTCCTGCAAAACTTGGCTACTGTTCAGTCATCGAGATGTTTGCGTCAATCACTCAACTCTTTTATCTTCAGAAACCAGCGAATGGTTCGCAGAATTGTGACGAATATCTGCTGCTGAAGACTACTCCAGAACTGAGAGCACAAACCACTGCAACGTTTCCAAAGAGAAGAGCTTTTGACAAGAAGTTTAAAGAGCGGGCCTTAGATGTGATCGTTCGCGTCAATGGCTGTGATGACACAAATGCAGACCATTGTCTTTATGTCCATGAGTTTGCCGAAGCCTACGAACTGATGTTCAGTGAAGTCATTGAGCCGAATGTCTATGGCTTTAAGAACTTTAAGGATCTGTTGATGGCTTTGTCCCGCGAATGTGATATAGATATGAAGGAGAGGATGAAAAACAAACCATATTTAGTCTATAAGAAGAAGTTTTAATGTTTGTCTTTATAATGATCACCAATTATTTGATTGCAATTTTATGCTCATTCAGTCAATGTTTATATGTTATTATATAATAATAAGGGATCACTCGATGGGGAGGGGGTCAGCAAAAGCTTCTGTTCCCAGAGAGGGCTTCAATTTTTGACCAAATTTTTTCGTACGTCCTTAATCAGTGACCCCTCATTCAAATCTATTATTATTAATGCAATTAGTTTACTTAATTACCATTTCAATTTGAATTATTTTTATATAAAGTTATTTGTCCACAAATCAATGTATTTATTACCACTCAGTTTGTTATCATTTTTTCTATTTTAAAAATCATTTGAATTTAATTTAAATTTCAATAAATTTTAGTTATGTAACGTTATAATGTTAAATTTATAAAGTGATAAGAAATGATTTAAAAATTGTAAATCAATCCCCAAGTACTTTGTAGTCAATAATCTGAACCATAATCATGTTTTTATTTGATAAAAAATTTTAAAATAAAAGATTGGTTTATATAAAATTAATTTGCATTCATAAGAATAAATGAATGTCATATTTATAATTACAAACATTTATGGTTGACAGACACTCACAATAATTTATATTGAGATTAGTTCTCAATGAACACCAAAATACATACATTTATTTGTTTGCACACAATAATGGATATTCAATAACTTATTAATGAATCTTATAATACGATTAATCGCACATTTATCACAATTTTCTACAACAATAAATATAAAATATATAAAATTGTGGA